TTTTCCCTTATCCGCATGATTGGCAGGCATGTCGGCGTATAATGATGATAATGACTATGAAAACTATTAGTATATCAATGGAGGAGTACTTTATAAAGCGAACAACTTGCGCAGAGTTGATGGGTTACTTGCTTAGCCCAGCAACCGTTCTTTTTGGCCCATGGATATCTTTGGAAACTTACACTATCTATTACATTCGCCACATGAAATTAAACTGGAAATGGGCTGTTAAAATGGCCGAATTGTTTAACTATGCCATGATACATTTGGCTTTAATCAACTATTTCGACGCATATCTCATTCCTGTGTTAACAATTCGTTCTTGGAATGTGGCTTTCATTGTGCCCAAAGTTACACAAAACGCTTTCGCATTCCGGGCTAGCAATTACTATGTTGGTTATATGGCTGAATTTACTATGATTACAGCAGGATTTAATGCTTATCATCATTTTGATCCCCAACAACGTTGGCGTTATCCTGTTACTCGAGCTCTTACAGTCGAATTTCCAAGATCTATGGATGTTGCTGTGCAGAATTGGAATATTCCGGCTTATCACTTTTTGGTTCAAAGTAAGTATGATTTAATTTCTTCTTTTCTCAGTTATAATATTTAATTAAATGTTATTAATCTTCACACTGTGTGTAACAAAGTTAGAATTTGCGATTATCTTAATTTTTTACAATTGAGGTTATGTTTATACATACTTACCTTATTAATGTTGCTATTAATTTAATACTTTTAAAAGAATTTTCTAATTATTAGGAAAGTGGATAATAGAAATAAAATTGTTAACATCACGGTAAATGAGCACATAAAAGATTAAACGTGTTATTGCGTGTTATATATTAAGTAAAAATAGCGCATGCGCGATATGAGAATGCGATGTACAGAGTTGATCAATATTAATTTTTAATTTAATAATAATATACAGGCTGGTTCAGTTTTTAATCGGGAAACTTTACTAGGACGTAGTACTTGCCAAAATAACACAATTTTTTTATATAAACATAGGGTCGCAACTCTTTTGTTTTCGAGCTATGAGCGATCAAAGTTGAGCTAAAAATTTACATTTTATTATTTATTTCGGCTATAAGTAAACCGAAGAATTTAAAATTTGGTATGTATTTACTACTGGTTAACATCTTGTTTTCTAGCATACCTTAAGCTTCCCTAGCGCCCTCTAAGGGGATGAAATTCACCACCCCCTTGGTTCTTTTTAGAAGAACTTTTTAACGCCATGGAGTATTAACATAAAAAAATATTGGTTATAAAGCTCATTCTTTAATGGTACTTTTTTGTCTCTTTAGTTTTTTTCCTAAAATTGATAGTTTTTGTGTAAAAAAATGGAATGTCGTGCCATGTACCGCCATGCTTAGCTAAAATTACTCTAAAAGTTGGCTTTGATTTTCAAAAAACAATTTATGTTTGTATTGAGACGAGCTGTTAGTTACGTTAAATCCTCTTAATTGTTGACAATTATTGAAAATATTTCTTGATTGTTATTAAGTAAAAGTATCATTATTTTTTTATTGTTGATCATTGTTTAAAAAACTACGAAAAATTGATCATGCCACGATTATTTTCGACAGAAGAATACGCAGACATTCATTTTATTTATGGTTTTTGTGATGGAAATGCGGAAGCGGCATCTAGAGAATACGCTAGAAGGTTTCCTAATAGAAGATGTCCTGATCCTCAGGTATTTATCAATACACATCAACGTTTTCGACAATATGGTTTAAATACCCAGCAAGTACGAAATAATCAAAATAACAGAAACCAAAGAGCAATTTTAAACCTTTTTGATAATGACAGCACATTAAGCAGTCGCATAGCTGCTAGACTACTTCAAGCTCAAAATTTACGAGTCTCAAGAAGTACAATTTTACGAACTCTGAAGAAGGACCACAGGAAACCCTATCGTTTTCAACCTGTACAAAATTTAAGACCTGAAGATGGTCCTAAAAGAGTAACTTTCTGTAGGTGGTTTGTACAGTCTGTTGAACGTGACCAAAATTTTTGTAAGAAGATTTTGTGGACAGATGAAGCCACGTTTACAAGAAGGGGTGTCGTAAATTACCATAACTTACATAGTTGGGAGCATGAAAATCCCCATGCAATACGTCCAAAAACCTACCAAACAGAGTTTAGTTTTAATGTGTGGATGGGTGTCATTAATAATAACCTCTGTGGGCCTTATTTTTTGCCACCTCGTTTGAACGCAACGATGTTTTTAAATTTTTTGCAAAACGATTTGGCGGAATGTTTATCGGACGTTCCTCTAGGTGATCTGGAGCAACATTGGCTTCAGATGGATGGGGCACCATCGCATTACAGCGCTAACGTACGTGCATGGTCATAGACGGATAGGACGACTAGGTCCTGTCAATTATCAAGAGGCAAACCGAGGTCCCGTTGCCTGGCCACCAAGGTCTCCTGATCTTAACGTTTTAGATTTTTTTGTGTGGGGCTATATGAAAAATCTAGTTTACGCCGCTCCAATAAACACTCGGGAAGAACTGTTGGGAAAAATAAAAGACGCTGCTAACACTTTAAGGAACAATCCGTTTCAAATATTAGCAGCAGTTAATTCTGTTGTTACAAGATGCCAAAAATGCATTGATAACAATGGCATGCATTTTGAACAATTTTTAAATTAATTGTGTTTATTTTTGTAATGAGTTTTTTTGATAAATTTGTTTCATTTTGATTCTTAATTAGTTTTCTGTTTGTTTTTTAACATTTTTCTCTTGTAATTTCCATTTTTTTAGTATACTATTTAATTTATTATTAAATGTTACTTATCTTTTGAATGATTATTTTAACTTAAATTTAATTAAATTTTTTATTACTTTAATGAGAAAACAAGTCAAGAGACGAAATCGTAAATAATTTGTGTTATTGTGTTAGCCCAAAATCCTGGTAAGTTTACATCTTCCATAGCCAACTTAAAATTTTGTTTTTTATTTGTAGGTAGCGCTTTGCCGCGCAATGTAACATATTTTATTTTTTTACGCAAAAACTATCAATTTTAAGAGAAAAACTAAAGAGACAAAAAAGAACCACTAAAGAATGAGCTGTACAACCCATATTTTTCTATGTTAATATTGCATTGCGTTAAAAAGTTCTTCTAAAAAGAACCAAGGGGGTGGTGAATTTCATCCCCTTAGAGGGCGCTAGGGAAGCTTAAGGTATGCTAGAAAACAAGATGTTAACCAGTAGTAAATACATACCAAATTTCAAATTCTTCGGTTTACTTATAGCCGAAATAAATAATAAAATGTAAATTTTTAGCTCAACTTTGATCGCTCATAGCTCGAAAACAAAAGAGTTGCGACCCTATGTTTATATAAAAAAATTGTGTTATTTTGGCAAGTACTACGTCCTAGTAAAGTTTCCCGATTAAAAACTGAACCACCCTGTATAATTTAATATACACATTCAAAAAATTGGTTGGGAAATTCTTAATCTGATTAAGATAAGTTTGTCTCAGATATAACCCAACCTAAGTCAAAACATCTCTTTGGAAATTAATTTAAAACTTTTTTTTTTAGATATTTACTCCCCATTTGCAGAAATAAATAAAACTTCCGCAGTTCTTATGTCATTTTTGGTAACGATGTTGATTCATGGACTTAATATACGCACAACGGTGGTTCTGTTAAGTTTGGGAATTTGGACCTATACTCAAGAAATCATCCAAGACAAGTTGGCGATGAGACTTAGTAGCTGCTGTCGCATTTACGCTTGTCGTGCCGGATGTGGACATCGATTGAAATTTTGGCACCCGATTACTTTGGTTATTAACGGCATCAACATGTTCTTGAATATATTGCATTTAGTATTTACGGGCCATATCATGCACAAGGATTTCGATGGAAGCACCGTTTGGGATTTGTGTCGTATATGGCGACATGATTTTGGATTACTTTCGCACCTTATTATTGTAATTTGGTTTTGTTTTATGCTGTACGTGGCTTAAAACGTTTATTTTATCATTTCTCGATATTCTTAAAGACTATTAAGTCTTCTAAAAGTTTCAGTTTTCATTTTTTTTTCAGCGTTTAGTTTGAGTTATTTTTGAAGAATGTTTATTTAGTTAACAGTATTATTTTGTAAGTCTTATAAGTAAAAAAATATATAACAAATAAGCAAAAATAATTACAATAAATAGTTTTGTAATTAAAATAGTTATTGCAATTTGGTTTTGTTTTATGCTGTACGTGGCTTAAAACGTTTATTTTATTATTTCTCGATATTTTTAAAGACTATTAAGTCTTCTAAAAGTTTCAGTTTTTTTTTTCAGCGTTTAGTTTGAGTTATTTTTGAAGAATGTTTATTTAGTTAACAGTATTATTTTGTAAGTCTTATAAGTAAAAAAAAATATAAAAAGCAAGCAAAAATAATTACAACAAATAGTTTTGTAATTAAAATAGTTATTGCAATTTGGTTTTGTTTTATGCTGTACGTGGCTTAAAATGTTTATTTTATTATTTCTCGATATTCTTAAAGACTATTAAGTCTTCTAAAAGTTTAAGTTTTTTTTTTCAGCGTTTAGTTTGAGTTATTTTTAAAGAATGTTTATTTAGTTAACAGTATTATTTTGTAGTAGACAATAAAAATCTAATAAAAAGTTTTAAAACGTAATTTAGATAATTTTTTATTCTTATAAGTGTAAAAAAAAATATAAAAAGTAAGCAAAAATAATTACAATAAATAGTCTACTTAACTAAAAAATTAAAAGAAATCAATTTATTCATATCAAAATCTCGATTTGTTTTTAAGAAACAGAATTAATAAACAAAGAGATTTGGATTCGATCAAGTAATTTTTCAAATGTAGCAAAAATGGGAAAGAAAAATATATTTTTGTAAAAATTGTCAAGGAGAAAGCTCACTTTGAATAAATGAACTTGCTCCCATAACCTAAATAAAAACAATTTATGACAAAAATATGTTTTAAAGAAATTTTGAAAAAAAACTTGATAAAATATTTATTTAATAATTAAATTAATATATTATCATCGATTCTTTTTAATCTTAATCTAAATATCACCAACATTTAAGATTGCTTAACTCGCTTATTTCTGGTAATACGAAAAAAGAAATTACAACCCCGCTCTTTTGGAGCATTCCATCTCATCACTGCCATCGCTGCACTCAATATAACCATTACAAAGTCGATTCGTTGGCAAACAATCGCCCAGCGGACATCTGTGCCCATTACAAATTGATTTACTCGACGAAATCGTTTCATTACTTTCGTTTAAATGCGAAAATATCCATTTGATGTATTTTGAGACTTTCGTGTAAACTCCGGGACGATCTTTTCTTGCGCAACCATAACCGTTACTTGTAACTCCTTGTAAAGTCCAACGACCATCTTCTTCTGGACACATTAATCCACCCCCGGAATCACCCAAACAGGCATCTCTCCCCCCACGATCAAACCCAGCACAAAACATATTATCAGTTATTCTATATAATGGCAAAAACACGGTGCGTTTTCGACATTCTTCAGTTGATATTATTGGTATTTGAACTTCTTGTAATGTATCAGCTAAAACACATCAACTAAAATCAATCACACTCTACATAAATATATATTATTCCTTACGAAAAATTCTCCCAGTTTCAAATAATTGCCCCCAACCAATAACGGTGCACATAGTGCCATCAGAAATTGGTGAATTTTCTTTTGGTAAACAAATAGGTCTGACATAATCACTAAAACTGACTGAAAATTCCATTTTCAACAAAGACACATCATTCACAAATCCTGCATCGATATAATCAGGATGTAAAATGATTTTGACGATGTGTCTAAGTTGCTCGTAAGGTGATGTTAAAGTAGCTCCGCGTCTTAAAGTACCTAAACGAGCCACCCAATGCTCATCCATGGTTCTAAAAAATGTTTAAATTTCTTTTGATCTTAACGAGTTTAAATTAATTACCGATAAAAGCAATGTCCAGCTGAAATAAGCCATTTCTCTGAAAGCAAAGTAGCTCCGCATTGGAATTCTCCTTCTTTGTACAAAGCTGCCTGCCAAGGCCAAGCTCCTAAACCAGCATTAATACCTCCTACGATTCTAGAATAGAAGATCTTGTATAACTTGATTCCCGCTGCGAAATTGTTTAATGATAAATACAAAAAGTTACCTGGCTACTCGCCCTACTTGGGGACGCGTACCGCATTCTAAGTGGCCGCATTTAATCTTAAGAACATCTTTCGTGGTGCAATTAGTTTCTGTGAAAATAATGCTACTATTAAAAGTTTCTTTTTGAAAACCTTTTTCGATCGTAAAATATTTAGTGTCTAAATTATTTTCATGAATAATTTCAGTTTCTTCTAAAGTCCTAAAAATTAAAAAAAATTAAACATTTATTTAACAATTTTTGGATTTTAGTACTGGTAAGATATAGCATTACAAACAGATTGGGCCAAATCATTCAAACCCGATTCAGACGTTTTATTTTCATCCAAACACAATTTAAACCAATCCCCGTATTTACGAACCAATAAATAACCACTTTCGTTGTACGAAAATTCGTCGGCTTCTTCGATTTTTTCCGATATTGTAACGCAACGTCTTTCATCATCGCCCAATGGGCAATCATTAACACCATCACATATTTTTGATTTTTCGATACATTTTTTTGAATTTGCACAGACGTAATTTCCTGGTTTACACCATTCTAAGAAATTAAGTTAGTAGTTATTACGTAACTAGTTATGAAAAGACTAATTTTGTTTGACGAATGTAATATTTGCCATAACGAGTGAGCGAGTTTTACAAATTACGTGAGTTAAACAAAATTAGCCGTTTCATAACGTGTTAAGTACAAAATTTTATCTAATTCCATTGAAAAAGCAAATTTTGTTCAAAACTTGACTTATTCTATTAGTGACAGATGTCAATTTGTAGTTAGATTATGGAATTTATTACATCACTAGTTATAAAAAAGTGACGTTACATGACGTCAGAAAGATATGTAAAATTTAATTTTCATAATGGAATTAGGTAAAATATTTTATCTACGACTGCTTGGATAAGTCATTATTATCACACTCATTTAAGTTACGTAATGAAGTTCATTACCGCACTGGTTTCATTACGTAACGCATTTTTAGCCCAATCAGAACAGACTGAATTTATTAAAACGAGCAACAATACTAAAGAAAAAGTGCTATCTACTTACAGAGAAACAATACTATTTATTATAAACATTAATTGTTATGTTTTTACATTTCTAAACACTTATTCCAGATGAATAAACATGTTATTGAAACTGACATTAATTCAAAATTGTCAACAATCATTTCAAAATATTTTTATAAATGTCAAAATAGACCTTTTTAAAGACATTGATTTTTAAGTAATTTTTAACAGTCGTAGATAAAATGTTGTATATCACACGTGGGCTAGAGCATAATTACAGTACTCAGTGCAATTCTTCACACTCGTACAGTAATTATGTTTCTAGCCCACTTGTTATATAAATAACTATTTCTTTATTTAAATATTATAATTACTTACCGCATTCATTTTCATCGGAATAATCCCAACAATCAACTATGCCATCACAAATTTTCCCCTTTAAAAGCTGCGATCTTAAATAATCGGCGCAAGTACAATTTTCTTCGTCCTTTCCGTTTTCACAGTCGATTAATTGATTACATCTTGCTGTATTTGGTAAACATTGTCCGTTATCACATTTAACGGTGTTTTCTGTGCATTCTAAAAAATTTTATGATTTAATGTTTGTCTTATGATTTATTATGAAGTTACCTGTTGTGTTAAGTGGGATGGGAAATAAATTCTTTTCGCTACTTTCTTTATCCATTTTGTTAAAATTTTTGGTTAAAACTTCGAACCCATCCCGATTAATTGTGTAACTATTTCTTACAGCTTTACTATTGCTGGTTATATCTGATTCATTTTGAGATAGCCGACTAATTTCTGATAATTTTTTTAATTCGCTCGGTGTTAAATACTCTCTTATGACATCAACGGAAACGCTGGTATTTTCTCCGGCGATAATTCTTTCAATTTCAGCATCATCAATATCCGGGACACTCATCTTTTGGTTTCTGATCAAACCTTTGCTCTCATTTTGATGTTCATCGTGTTCAAAATTTAACATCCCCATTATTTTAATATCGTTATTGTTTATTTTAGCCGTGGAAGTTTCTTTAAAAAAGCTTCTTTCTTCGACATCAATTGGGCGTCTTCTTAATGGTCGTCCAATTCCCGAATTAGATTTAACGGGCATTAGCGTAACGAGAGGTTGTTTTGTCGTTGAGGAAAACGATGGAATTAAATCTTCAGCGTCAACGACCTCTACTTGACCTTGGCCAAAACTTTCGGTTGTTACGGATGTTGAAATAATTTCTTCGGTTATAATGTTTAGTGGTTTTAGCGTTGTGGATGTTAAATTTTCCTGTGATAATTTATTAAGCGGGATTGGATGCGCGGATGAAAGAATGTTTAAAGGATTTACGTTGTAAGTTAAACCAGGATTTGTGAAGCTGGTGTAAGTAGGTGATTTTTCTTTTGAAACGATTGGTATCCACGGTTGGTCATTGATTTCAGGTGGAATAAAATCGAATTTTTTCGTTGTTTCAGTTGGGACTTTAACGGTTGGTTTGGAGACTTGATCAACCGAAGCGATTTTATAATAAGAACTGGTAACGGCAGTTTCCTTTAAATTACCCTTTTTAACGCTTTGTTGTTGCTCTGGTTTCTTATTAACGGCGATATCCGCCTCGGTTTTGCTAATTTGAAACGATCCTTGGATAACTGGTAGATTTTCCTCTTCGACGTTAACTTCTTGTATTTCCGGCCTTTTTGTTGGGATGGTTATGCTATCTTTTATTGGTTTCTCTATTCGTAATTTTGTTGTTGGTTTTAAATTTTCTAATGGTTTTGAGTTATCGGGTTTTAAAATTTCGATGGGTTTTGGTTTAGAAGATCTTTGGTATAAATTTTGTTCTTTTATTAATTTAATTGAAATACTTCGTGAGTCGAAACGAATGTTTTTGAAAATTGGTTTTTTCGATAAAGCATCGCTTACTAGGGCGTCCCTTAAAATTTTTTCTATGTTCGTTATCGTTCTAGGAATTTTTCTTTTATTCAACGTTACTTTATAATAAATAGTTTGGGTATCGTTACCGAATTTTTCAACATTACAACCAACGATTGCAGCGCTTAACGGCGTCCTTTGGTATAATATTTCTAATTGATTTTTGTATCTACGCGCTTTCTCCGGTAAATTACCAACGAATCGATCTCCGCGTAAAACCTTTACGCTGCAACTAAACATCAGCAACGCTAAAAAATTTTTATAAAAATACCGATATTTTTAAACAATTTCTTTTATTTACGGTTTGTTGGTTCTCCTCTCAACGTTCCCATATATAAAGCTAATCCAGCTATTGAAACCACAGCCACTAAAACTACAAGAGAGGCTGCTGCCAACGCAATCGAACACGTTCTACCTCCTCCTTTTGGTTTATTACTACTAGGTTGGGGTTGCTCCCGCCACAAAAGAGTTGAATGTCGTGATGATAAACCCAAGTTGTACTCATTCTTTATAAAATAAAAATTAAACGAAAAATTTTATTAAAAAGCTTTGTCTTAAAACTAAACCAATGTTATTAAGAAAAAAATTTTGCGCAAAATGAGATATCAACGGAATGCTCTAACAATTCGATATGGTTTGGTGTGCAGAGTTCTGGAGTTGCGGCGGAGTCCGGATCTTCACCTCGTGTCTTCAAAATCCAAGAAAGAACGATATGTTGCGAAAAAATAATATATATATATTTATAGATGTTTTGGACTACGATGAGATGATGTTAAGAATTGTCCAAAATTAGATGTTAATATGCATCATCAAGCTCCGAATACTAGAGAATACCAGGTTATGATACTTGGGGCCGAGTATGATCCTACCTTGTTTGAAATGGATGGAAAAGTCGGCCTCTCCAGAAAATACCAGCTCAGGATGCTTGGGTTGGGTTGGATTTGGTTGCGAAAAACTTACTTCTGCCACCGAGTATTTCCAATACCAGAAAATACCACCTCATGATACTTGGGTTGGGTTGGATTTGGTTGCGAAAAACTTACCTCTGCCACCGAGTATTTCCAATATCAGAAAATATCACCTCATGATACTTGGGGCGGCCGACGTCTCCGAAGTCGGCCGAGTATGATCACATCTTGCTTGAAACGAATTGAAAAAGCAACCTCGACCGACTTCGAAGACGTCGGCCGCCACCGAATATTTCGCATACTAGAAGATACCACCTCATGATGCTTGGGTTGGGTTGAATTAGGTTGGGAAAAAGTAACCTCAGACCACCTCATGATACTAAAAAACATATTTTGCATACAAGAAAATATCACCTCATGATATTTGGGGCGGCCGACGTCTTCGAAGTCGGCCGAGCATGTTTATTTCAAATACTTGAGAATACCAGCTTATGATACTTGGGGCCGAGTATGATCCTACCTTGTTTGAAATGGATGGAAGAGTCGGCCTCCCCAGAAAATACCATCTCAGGATGCTTGAGTTGGTTCGAAGACGTCGGCTGCCACCGAGTATTTCCAATACCAGAAAATATCACCTCATGATACTTGGGGCGGCCGACGTCTCCGAAGTCGGCCGAGTATGATCACATCTTGCTTGAAACAGATTGAAAAAGCAACCTCGGCCGACTTCGAAGACGTCGACCGCCACCGAATATTTCGCATACTAGAAAATACCACCTCATGATACTTGGGTTGGGTTGGATTTGGTTGGGAAAAAGTAACCTCGGCCGACTTCGAAGACGTCGGCCGCCACCGAGTATTTCCAATAACAGAAAAAACCACCTCATGATACTGAAAAAGGTATTTTGCATACAAGAAAATATCACCTCATGATATTTGGGGCGGCCGACGTCTTCGAAGTCGGCCGAGCATGTTTATTTCAAATACTTGAGAATACCAGCTTATGATACTTGGGGCGGTGGACGCCATGTTACTAGCTCTATTAGAAAATGTTATAATTGATAAACAAAATAAAGTTGGATATGGAATCCGTTCCAAGGATTAACTGTTAGTCTTTCTCCCATTCCTAAACATTTATTAACTATTTTGAGAGTTAACATAGCTGCATTCATGATTATCATCAGTTACAAAATCTGCCATCTCTTCTTCTATCAGTTCAGAATATAGTAGCCTGGATGTTATTCTGCAACTTGTCATCATCCTTCTATGATGTGACAAAACTTGGCCAGAACAGCAAATTCTAGAAGTCTTCAACTACTTTAAGGATCTCATCTCTTCCTGTTGTTAACTCTCCGAACTTCTTGTCGTTACCTGTTCCTGCGGTAAATCCATCGACTTAATTAAGTTTTTCATCATTTAATCGTGGGATTCTGCTTAATCCTATCGCGATAATTGAATGCGGCAATTAGCGAAGAGTAATTAAACCAAAAAATTAATAAAAAGTCCATCGATTTTATCACTTTTGAACTTGTTTCTGAATAATTTCTAGTTTAATTTTATTTCTAATTTCTGTTATGATTTTGACATACAATGAGCTGAAATGGTACTCCACTTTAACTTGAAATGCAGATAATAACAAATTTCAATTCTGTGCAAGTCTTTGTGTTAGGTGATAACATTGATATCAACGGAATGCTCTAACAATTCGATATGGTGCAGAGTTCTGGAGTTGCGGCGGAGTCCGGATCTTCACCTCGTGTCTTCAAAATCCATGAAAGAACGATATGTTGTGAAAAAATAATATATATATATTTAGAGATGTTTTGGACTACGATGAGATGATGTTAAGAATTGTCCAAAATTAGATGTTAATATGCATCATCAAGCTCCGAATACTAGAGAATACCAGGTTATGACACTTGGGACCGAGTATGATCGTACTTTGTTTGAAATGGATGGAAAAGTCGGCCTACCCAGAAAATACCATCTCAGGATGCTAGGGTTGGGTTGGATTTGGTTGCGAAAAACTTACCTCGGCCGACTTCGGAGACGTCGGCCGCCACCGAATATTTCGCATACCAGAAAATACCACCTCATGATACTTGGGTTGAGTTGGATTTGGTTGGGAAAAAGCAACCTCGGCCGACTTCGAAGACGTCGGCCGCCACCCAGTATTTCCAATACCAGAAAAAACCACCTCATGATACTTGGGGCGGCCGACGTCTCCGAAGTCGGCCGAGTATGATTACATCTTGCTTGAAACAGATTGAAAAAGCAACGTTGGCAGACTTAGAAGACGTCGGCCGCTCTCGCATATTTGGAATACTAGAGAATACTAGCTCATGATACTTGGATGGGGTTTACTTCGGGTGGCCGACGTCTTCGAAGTCGGCCGAGTATGATCCTACCTTGTTTGAAATGGATGGAAAAAAACGTATTTTGCATACAAGAAAATATCACTTCATGATATTTGTTGCGGCCGACGTCTTCGAAGTCGGCCGAGTATGTTTATTTCAAATACTCGAGAATACCAGCTTATGATACTTGGGGCGATGGACGCCATGTTACTAGCTCTGTTAGAAAATGTTATAATTGATAAGTTGTTCCATTAAACAAAATAAAGTTGGATATGGAATCCGTTCCAAGGATTAACAAGATTGAGTTTTAAAACACATTTATTCTAAATATATTGCTATTAACATATCTGTTAGTCTTTCTCCCATTCCTAAACATTTATTAACTATTTTGAGAGTTAACATAGTAAAATCTGCCATCTCTTCTTCTACCAGTTCAGAATATAGTAGCCTGGATGTTATTCTGCAACTTGTCATCATCCTTCTGTGATGTGACAAAACTTGGCCAGAACAGCAAATTCTAGAAGTCTTCAACTACTTTAAGGATCTCATCTCTTCCTGTTGTTAACTCTCCGAACTTCTTGTCGTTACCTGTTCCTGCGGTAAATCCATCGACTTAATTAAGTTCTTCATCATTTAATCGTGGGATTCTGCTTAATCCTATCGCGATAATTGAATGCGGCAATTAGCGAAGAGTAATTAAACCAAAAAATTAATAAAAAGTCCATCGATTTTATCACTTTTGAACTTGTTTCTGAATAATTTCTAGTTTAATTTTATTTCTAATTTCTGTTATGATTTTGACATACAATGAGCTGAAATGGTACTCCACTTTAACTTGAAATGCAGATAATAACAAATTTCAATTCTGTGCAAGTCTTTGTGTTAGGTGATAACATTGAATTAATAAGATTTGGAAAGTCAATTTCACTTCGATTAATTTTTTTTTCTTTAAGAAAAATGCGAAATGTTCGATTGCTGCCCGATTCAATGCCTTTTACAGCGCAATAATTGCACGGACGTTCGCTCAAGAATGTCGCTTTAACATTTTTTTCCTAACATCCAAAGGTGTTAGATTTACACTTAATTCGAGGCAACGAAGAAAAAGAACGATTTCAAATACAATTTAATTTTTATTTTTAAGTTATAATAAAAGAAGCGGATGAAGACTTTTTTTTTAACACAGGAAGTGTGAGACGTGTTAGATTTTTCGATAACAACGGGATGAGTAATTTTTTTTTTGTTTCTTTAAAGAATAAGATTTTTTTTGTTTTGGATGAGCAACATTTTTTGGTCGGCCACCCATCATCGGAATACCGAGAAGAGATAATTGTTCGAAGCGACATATTCGAAATACTCGAAGGCCAAATGTGAACCAATTAAAATGCTTTTCTTTGGTCAAAAGAACAAAGGAGAACCAAAAAGAGGTTTGCTTTAAATAAATTCAAAAAAGAATAAAATAAATTTAATTTGAACCGTTTTTGTTATTCTTTTTTGTTCGGCGAATGATGATGGGAGATTGAAGATCTTAGAGGTTGCAAGTTCCGATATATCTTTGAAAGGACTACACCTCAGCGACCTTGTAAGTTGGTTGCCCCCCATTTTCTTCTTTCATTAAACGCCCGAAGAGTCTCCGAGCTTCTTTTCACTTTATAGTCTTACATAGTTCGTTCACTCCTTTGCATTTTGAGGCGCTAGGTTTGCTCAGTTTCTAGTTTTTCTTTCAAGACCAGACTCGTTTTTACTCAGCGGCGACGTCGTCGTGAGGAAGTAGTTAACTTTTTTTTGCTTTTATTTTTTTATGCATCTTTTGCAACTGTGGATTCAATATAGGGTTAAAGATAATTTTATAAATTTTTTTGTGATGTGCTAGATAAAAATTAGATTTAATGGGGAATTGAATATCGCTTTGGTGCATTAACAGGTCAGTTACCTGGCCAGAATGCGGCTTGCTTAGAAAAGAGGTTGTTTACCCTTAACTCGATAGAGTAATAAATAAGAAATTGATTTAAATTGGCGAAAAAAAAATTGAATAATTTGTTTATTGGAACAAATTTTTAAATCAAATTAAACTAAGTAGGCGCGATAATAGTCGCTCAATTAACAATATGTCGAAGAAACTGTTAGACGGACACCGATGCCAGATGTTTAATTCATGCAACAACAGTAACTGTTGAATAATATCAATATAAAACACTCAATCAAGAAATGTATAACAAAATTTTTAATTACAAATTTTTAATTACCTGTCTAAAATTTGTATTATAACTCGGATGATAAAATGTTCCATTTGCTAAAGCCGGCCTGTATTTGGAACGAGCCGAATTTGCACAAAAAGTTTCCATGTCATACGCACGTTGACACTTTTACAGAAAACCTTTCGTTTTTTTTTTGTTTGTTTTAACGCAAAACTCTTAACTACATTTTTTTCATCGTATATTTTTTTGTATGATCACCGCAACCGCTTCTCGCGAACGTCCGCTCTTCGCGGACACCAAAGACGATCTGTTGGTTAAATTCGTGGTCGTCACGTCTCTTTTGAAGAAGAAGCCAACACGGAGTTAACGGTTGTTCCTTTACATGTTTTTTATTTTACTTGAGGTTCCCTTTTACCCAGAACCTTACTCTATCTTATTTAGAAAATTACTTACACACATTTTTTTTTAAATATATTTTAAATTTCTTCTTTATCATCGACTACAAAAATTATTAACTTAAAAACGTTTATAATTCTCATACTTTTTTATATATTTCATTGGTCTAGTGGTTTTGTTGTTCTAGATATAAGATTGATTTTGGATATATTTATGCTCACAATTCATGAAGCTATTAATGATTTTGGAAGATTTTTTCTGTATTATGCTCCGGATACCGTTTTTTTCCAACACTCTTCTAATTTTCACATTTTTGAAAAATTCTCCACATTGATGCATCTGGGAGCAAAAATGTTACAGACCATTGTGTTAAGGGTACAATTCGCTACAACTTTTGTAGTAAAAGTTTTTCTGTACCATGTTTCTAATACCGCTTTTTTTCAACACTCTTCTATTTTTCACATTTTTGAAAAAATCTCCACATTGATGCATCTAGGAGCAAAAATGTTACCGACCATTGCTGATGCATCTAGGAGCAAAAATGTTACAGACCATTGCGTTAAGAGTACAATTTGCTACACATGCTTGGGATACCGTGCTTTTTCAACACTCTTCTAATTTTAAAATTTTTGAAAAATTCTCCACATTGATGCATCTAGGAGCAAAAATGTTACGGTACAATTTGCTACAAATTTTATAGTAATAGTTTTTCTGTACCATGCTTCGGATACCGTTTTTTTTTCAACACTCTTCTATTTTTCACATTTTTGAAAAAATCTCCACATTGATGCATCTAGGAGCAAAAATGTTACAGACCGGTACAATTTGCTACAATTTTTGTAGTAATAGTTTTTCTGTACCATGCTTCGGATACCGTGCTTTTTCAACACTCTTCTATTTTTCACATTTTTGAAAAAATCTCCACATTGATGCATCTAGGAGCAAAAATGTTACAGACCATTGCGTTAAGGGTACAATTTGCTACAACTTTTGTAGTAAAAGTTTTTCTGTACCATGCTTCTAATACCGCTTTTTTTCAACACTCTTCTATTTTTCACATTTTTGAAAAATTCTCCACATTGATGCATCTAGGAGCAAAAATACATTGATGCATCTAGGAGCAAAAATGATACAGACCATTGCGTTAAGGGTACAATTTGCTACAACTTTTGTAGTAAAAGTTTTTCTGTACCATGCTTCTAATACCGCTTTTTTTCAACACTCTTCTATTTTTCACATTTTTGAAAAAATCTCCACATTGATGCATGGAGCAAAAATGTTACAGACCATTGTGTTAAGGGTACAATTTGCTACAACTTTTGTAGTAAAAGTTTTTCTGTATTATTATTTCCGTTTTTTTCAACACTCCTCTAATTTTCATATTTTCGAAAAATTCTCCACAGTGCTGCATCTCCACGTTTGATTTCGATTCAAACCTTTAGCATCTACTACGCAAAAGTAACAATCATTAGGCTTCATCCAGATCATAGGAATACCAAAGAACATCTTTGATATTTCTTTTTTGTTTTTTTAATAATTTTAATACTTTAATTGTTATATAAAGACATCAAGTAATTGAAACAAAATATTAACACATGACAACTTATCAAAATTCACGTGTAAGTACTTCAATATTGTCAAATAACTGCGATCTCAGCTGTTCTGCGGAGCAAGGGGTCTTTGAGTGGGGATCACGTGATGTTTGTATGCGCGAAAAAGTTGCGCAGAAGCCTAATCATAACTGGAAAATAAATTTTATTACTAACAAGCCGACAATTTTTCAAAATATAAGATATGTAAAAATCATAAAAAACAGTTACTTGAAAACATAAAAATTTGCAAAGCTGTTTTTAATTTCATCTAAAAATTTGCAAAGTTACAAGTTCTCACGTAGTAATTCTATGTTAGTGTCTCACTAACGGTACATTTGTATTGTCGCTATATAACGTTGAGAGGAGATCACGGAATCGCGTAATTAGGCAAAAAGACTATGTTGATCTTTAAAGATCACATCTGTCGAAAGAACGCGTCAGTTGTACCATTGTAACACATTTCAACTGCGTTATTATTATTATTATTATCCATTTCTTCATTTTTCGATCTAAAACCCTACTCTAAATAATATAAAGTACATTAATAAAACGTAAAATTTATTTTCATTTTTTATTATTTAAGAGTTATTTGCAAGTTTTAATCATCCCATTTTTTTTTCATGAAAATTTCTTAGATGTTAATGCTGTATATATTCTTTGAACTACGTCGGAGCTAAGACCGAACCACTGTCCACTAGAAGAACTGGATGATGACCTTGCACTGGATCGTCCGAAGAAGGCATCGTAATAATCATAATCAGTCGAGATCACATTGAACTTGGCGTAGTAAATTGCAGCAAATGCCGAGTAGATAAGTAAAATGGCAGTTCCAAGCTAAATAAAAAACGTAATTATTAATAATTATTCATTATTAATCAAGTTTATTACCTGGAAGGCCGCCCAAAACTTAAATGAACCCTCTTGAATAATAAAATTATAATAATTTGACCATATATCGGTTTTAACGGCTTTTTGTTCTTCTTTATGCTCTACAATGTGGTCGTGGTCGTGATCATCGTGATCGTGAACATCAACGTGATCGTAATCCATCATCATTCCTCTCCCCTCTCTTTCTTCACTAAAATCACCCATCAAGTAATCAAAAAAAACTTTAAAAAAATTTACCTGTCGTAAATCTGAGGCATGGGTGTTGTGGCAACCGGATAATTCACGGTACCACAAACCGTTTGTTTGAACAAAGCGATCGTTACGCACAATATAAACGAGTACGAACACATCTTTCTTTTCTTAAAAACAACTCTGGCTAAATATGGGAAAAAATATCAGAGTCTTTTAAGTTTTGACTTAACAATGAGACTGCACCGCGAGGAGATAATGTACTGATGTTAAGCAAAGATATCTTCACGTCGTGATATGATTTGTTTAGACAATTAACACCTTTGAAAATGTAACGGCTCCCAAGGTTAATAATTTTTATAACAAACACTGTCTCAATTACGTAAATTATGAAAAATATTTTTTTGGGCGTTAATTGAACAACGGTTATTAAGATTAACTAGAAATTAAATTAGGTCAATTAAAAATTTTTATTTAAACAATTTTTAAATGTCTAAAAAAAATAACTACTAAAGCTAGATCCTACTAAGATCCTTAAACCAGGAGACTATCTCACAGATTTCCTAATTTTCATGACTGGAGTTGGGTTGGGTAGGATTTCATGACTGTTAATTATTAATCCTGTTAATAAGGAGGGAGTAGAGTTGGGTTGGTTTGTTATTATTATTATAATTTCCTTTTTAAGCCGTCCTCTAATTCAAAACTCTATTAAAGTCCTTGTGGTAACTGCCAAAAACTCCATTTATCAAATATCAAGTCAGCTATCAAATTTAGGATTAATGCAATCCATGTAAATTTTGTCCATATCAATATGCTAGTCAAAATATCATCTGCCATAACTAAATTCTTAATATCTACATGAACAAGTAGTCCATACATGAATATTTTTATTCTGCCACACACTGGTACGCTTCAAAACGTGCTTCGGCAATCAATTGATGAAATTTTCAATTTGACCAAACGCACAAATAATTCAATCTTCCATACACATTACAAAAATAAGCGAAGCCAATAAAAAGAAACTAAGAAGATGTCAATAAGATGGCATAAAAGATATAATTTTATAAAATACATACTAAAAAAAAAAAGACAAAAATTTTTATTAAAAAAAAATTTATTAATCAATTTACTTAAAATTACATATACTTTTGTGTGGCATTATTAATAGCATTAGTAACATTATGAGTGATTTCATCAATTTTCATATCCCTCCCGCTTCGTCCTTTACCTAAATCGTGCAAATCGTGTATAAAATTGACTTTATGTCTGGCGATCGATTTCAAAATTAAAACGGTAATGTATAAAATGAAATAAGCGCTAAAATACAACGGAATGTACCACAGTTTTCTTCCCAAATAATAATAACTGTAATGTCCTTTGTTAACACGTTCTTCGGGCATTTCCGTGGTTGTTGTTACCTCGTGGTAGACGTGGTGGTCGTGGTAATCGTGATCGTGATATTGAAAGTGATGGCCTTTAGGGTCATGATCGACGTATTCCGGAATTTTTGCGGGGTAATTGTATGATGTTGGTGGTGAATCGACGATATGTTCATGATGGTGATCAAAACTTGTTGAGGGTGGCGAATATTCTTGATAATGGCCATGAACTGATTCTGGGGGTTTTACAGTAGCTACGATTTGTGGCCCTTGATCGCTGTATCCAGAAAAATCATGACTTGGCTTCTCATCTTGCGGCATGTATGAATCAACTTCCATCGGTTTTTGAGGTGGATGATACATATCAGAATCTTTCGGTGGATGATCTAATTCTTGTGGGGCGTAAGGATATCCAGGATATTCGTTTTTCGTTGATGATGGGGGCATTGATGGTGGAGGTGGAGGGTTGTTAGCTGGTAAATATTGAGTTTCCGGTTTATCATCAGGTTTTGGGTTATAAGAATCATAAGGGGATTCATATAAATTTCCTGGTGGTTTTTGAGAGTCTGAATCATCCGAATTTGTGGGTTTCGATGGGTTATAAGAATCGTAAGGTGAATCATAAATGCTTGGAGAATTTCCTGGAGATGGTGGCCCAGAATTGTAAATTGGATTTGAATCCAAATCTGAATTTGGGTTTGAATCCGGAATTGAATCAGGTTGAGGAGAGTCTAAATTAGTTGGAACGGGTGGACTCGCAGCTGGTTTGAATGGAGATCCATAAACCACAGCTGGTTTTTGCTCGGGTTTTGGGTCATTTGAACTTGAGGGGACGTTGAGATACTGGAAATAAGGTCTGGGGTTGTATCGTTCTTGTACTTCACCTTTACCGGGTAAATCTTCGTTATGGTCTTCTCCAACTCTCGAAGAACTTGGGTTGAAGTAAGTGATTTTACTCCTTAAGTTTTGGCCGGATGAAATTTTGGCGTTTGAACTATAACAAATCAATACAAGTAAATAAGAAATTAATTAACTTTATGTTAAAGTAGATTAACCTTTGAGAATATAAAGATAATCCACTGCTGCGTGCTTCGTTTGCACCCGAAGATGTTTTTACACCAAAATTAGAAACTTTAGCGTATCCACTCGGGGTGTCTTCAGGTAAACTTTTCGCGTAGACTACACTCAAAATAAATAAATAAACCTCAAAGCGATACATTGTCCAGGAGACGTTCACTGAGCCGGAGGTTTAAACGATTGTGGAATTGGCTTTGTGAATCTTTACACGGTTACACGAAGTGATAATTATCTCGTGTGGTCGTTACGGTTATACAAAACATTTCGTCAAATATGCTCCACATTTAAGAACCGTTCGCGCCTGTTATGTCAATATGTGTAATGGTATTTGATAACAATATAAATTGATACTAATTTTTCTATTAAAACCTTGACCCTGATTTTCGTGCATTGTTTCTTAGTTCCGTTAAAATTATTGTGTGAAATTAAGAAATTTTTTATGTATTTTTTTAATAATTTAAATTAATTTTTTATTAATAGGCAACCTATTTAACACTCTAATGGTTCTTAATAAATCGAATAGATGTCACTACCTAGTTATTGAGGAAGATTAATTAAATTGAATGATAATTTTTGTTATTTAGTTATTTAAAAATGTTGAGGGGTTAGTGTAGAAATAAAATTTAATAATTATATTAATATTTTGATTGTATTTTTAATAAGGGGTGGAAATCGATCTAACAAGTAGTTTGGTGGGGGTATCTGTCAAGTGCTGTCAAAAGTTGAATACACAGAATATAAAAAAAATTCGTTAAATGCAATAACAAAATAATTATTTAATACGATGGCGATGTACAAAGGTTTTCGGGTCCTGGAAAAATCGCAGCCTCCAAATCCTCACAGCGTTTTATTAGAATACAGGGGAAAAGAGAATACTTTACTTTTTGAGAGTCAAGCGGTTGCCGTTTTATGTAGGTTATTAAAAAAATAGTACATTTAATAAATTAATAATATTATACTTTTGCAATTTTTGTAGCTGTTCAAGAAACCGAAGCCGTACGAAAGCAATACACCAAGATATTAGATGCTTATGGTTGTTTAGGGGTATTACAGTTAAATGCAGGAGAAAATACTGTACTTTATCTTGTTATGATCACCGGCTGTTTTTCTGTTGGAAAAGTTGGTGACTCTGAAATATTTAGGATTACACAAACTCAATTTATTCCTTTACATTATCAACAAAACGAAGACAGAATCATAGAGGTAGTCCAAAGAATTCATCAAATCCTTTTCTAACTTCATATATTTGTAGGTCAGGAAATTATTAAACTCTGGAACATTCTATTTTTCATGGAATGTAGGTGGAACACCTTTAGATCTTACATTATGTGCTCAAAGGAGACAGAAAACAACACAAACAGATCATCGTTTCTTTTGGTATAGAATATTTATATACAGGTGTTTCTAAATCTTTCACATCAATTTAGAAACACCTGTATTATATATACAGTAGTAGTAAAACCTTGATATAACAGACTTTGGATATAATGGTAAAATATTTTTAAGTATTTAATATATCAGGATATACACACTTTACCAAAGAAGTAGAGCCATGGATATAATATCAGGGTATTCCCTGAGATGTCTATTATACAGACTGTCCCATATCTTCCACATCAGAGCATTATATGGTTGAAGGATGCATTATTCTGAAGCAATTTTTGTAATAAAAATTTTTCGAAATGTTTATAATAACCTTACTTGAATTGTTTAAAGTCGTTCAATAGCGATTTAATTACTTAGTCGTCTTCGGTGTCCCATTCTATCTTTTATATCCCATATGTCCCATATCTAACATTAATAGTTTGGGAGGTAATTAGGGTTTTTTGAAAAATGCACACATTAATGGATATTTAGCCTAGTGTGCCATGGAGATTCAATGAGTTCTTGTCAAATACTCGCTTGTTTAGGTCACTTGATGCATGTGAGCTAATAATTATCTGTTAGGTCCCTTAATATTAGTACTAAAAAGAGTTAAAATCGATAACAATAACGAAAATAATATTTATACAAATCAAGAAATTCTTAATTTATTTTTTATACATGAAAAGCGCGACAAAGTTCGTAGTATCATTCCCAGATCTTCTTTGGCAGCTCGAATTGAGGCTTTTTTGTACATGTGAGCATTTTCAAAAAAACCCTAATTATTTTCCAAACTATTAATGTTAGGTATAGGACATATGGAGTATAAAAGATGTAACATGAGACGCCGAAGACGACTAAGTAATAAAATATGGGTGTTGCCATTTAGAAAAATTAAGTTATGGTACTTCAAAATTTCGAAAAGTTAACGTAAAGTGACCAAACGATCTAGGCAGCCGTTCTCGGCACCAAAACATACTCCATCATGTTGCTTAGGCATGTTCTGAATCCTAAATTGATATCTCAAAAATCGAGTGTTCTCTGATTTTTTGAACAAATGTCTGCTAGAGCAGATTTTTCTAGAAAAATTCGAATAACTTGAGAACGGCTGAATCAAATTACAGAAAGTAAAGTTATTCATAAGCCTTGAAAACAGACAAATCCAAACTTGCAAAAATATACAGGGTGTTTCATTTAAAAAAATAAAGTAGGTGGCGACTTCCGGTATAACCGGAAGTATTAGAAATCTGAAAATATTTTAGTCGAAGAGAACGCAATTGATAATACTTAATCTGAATTTTCAAATTTTTATTTTGCCCATTATATATACATTAAATATATATTTAATATATCTTTCATTGAACTGTTGACTATAACAGACACTCCCTTCCCCATATTAGTCTGTTATATCAACGTTTTACAATAAATAATTCCTTACTATTTCTAAATAAAATCTTACAGGAATAGAATGTTGTTTGTTCATCTTGTTCGATTTGGGGTTGATTGTAAATCATGGTTAGTAAAAGCAATGTGCGGTTCAGTTGAGATAAGAACGGTTTACATCGGTCATCGGAAAGCTTTAGCTGCCGTAATGTCTAGGTTAAGTTGTGAAAGAGCCGGGACAAGGTTTAACGTACGGGGTACTAACGATGAAGGGCACGTCGCGAATTTCGTCGAAACGGAACAAGTTATATTTTTAGACAACGAAGTTTCGTCGTATTTACAAACTAGAGGTTCTGTCCCGTTGTTTTGGGAACAACCGGGTGTACAAGTAAGTGCAAAAAATTTTAATAAACGCTCAATAAATACTCTTTTTTAGGTCGGATCTCATAAAGTAAAATTATCAAGGGGTTATGAGGCATCAAAATCGGCCTTTGATAGGCATTTAACGTTAATTAAAGAACGTTATGGAAAACAGGCGATAATTAATTTATTAGGTACTAGTTTAATTGGTAGTAAAGAAGGGGAAGCAACTTTGAGTCAAGAATTTCAAGTACAAACTTTATACGTTTATAGTAATTTTTTATAATTTTATCAATTTCTTAGAGGCATCATTTTGAGTCTGATCACACTGACGTTCCACATGTTGTTTTTGATTACCATCAGGAATGTCGAGGCGGAAATCAAACAAATTTAGTCAAATTAAAAGCGAAGATTGACCCGCAATTAACCGAATTCGGGTTTTATCATGCTGAAAACAATACAGTTTTTCAGTACGTATTTGTGGCGTAATTTCAAGCTTTTTAATCTTATTTATTTTAGTTCTCAAATCGGTACTTTAAGAACAAATTGTTTGGATTGTCTTGATAGAACGAATTGTGTACAAACTTTTATTGGGTTGGAGGTAATTAATTATAATTTTATTATTTCAAAAAATAATCATTTTAATTTAAGATTTTGGGTAAACAATTACAAGTAATGCAGCTGGTGGATAAAAAGCAAATTATTTCTCGTTTCGAGGAAGTATTTAAACAAATGTGGATCAATAATGGAAATGAGATAAGTAAAATATATGCAGGAACTGGAGCTATACAGGGTGGATCAAAATTAATGGATGGGGCGAGATCCGCAGCGCGAACTATACAAAATAATTTATTGGATAATTCTAAACAAGAAGCAATTGATGTTTTATTAGTTGGATCTACACTTAGTACTGAATTAGCTGATAGAGCAAGGACTTTACTTCCATATAATACATTACACGGTAAATAATATTAAGTAAAGTACAAAAATACATTAAAAATTTATTTTATTCAGCTCCACCACATGTTTTACGCGAGATGTGTAACCGTTACATAGAATATACAACTCCGATGCAAATTCGTGTCGCTGTAGGAACATATAACGTTAATGGGGGAAAACATTTCCGTAGTTTAGTGTTTCGGGATTTGTCGCTATCCGATTGGTTGTTAGATAACAATCAATTAAACAACTTGGTTGATGTTTCGCACAATAGCGACGACGCAAATCTTCCCGTTGATATCTACGCGATCGGTTTTGAAGAAATCGTGGATCTCAACGCTGCGAATATCGTCGCTGCTAGCTCGGAAAATGCGAAATCGTGGATGGAGGAGTTGCAGAAAGTTTTATCGAGGGATCGACCGTACGTTTTGGTTTCATATCAACAGTTAGTTGGGGTTTGTTTGTATTTATTTGTACGACCTGAACATGCACCTTATATCCGTGATGTAGCTGTTGATTCTGTTAAAACTGGTTTAGGTGGACATACAGGTAAATCTAAAAAATATTTAATTTTTTAGATTTACCTTCAAAATTATTTTTTAATTTTATTTAGGTAATAAAGGTGCTGCTGCGATCCGCATGGTATTTCATGCAACATCGCTGTGTTTTGTTTGTGCTCATTTCGCCGCTGGCCAATCGCAAGTGAATGAAAGAAATGAAGATTACGCCGAAATAACACGAAAAGTGACATTTCCAATGGTGAGATACGCAAAACATAATCATAGTGTAAACATTTTTAACTTCATTTCCAGGGTAGAACGTTAAATTCACACGAATACCTCTTCTGGTGTGGTGATTTTAATTATAGAGTGGATTTGGATAAAGATGAGATGAAAGATTTGTTAAAACAAGGCGATGTAGAAAGTGTGCTTCAATTTGATCAGTTGAAAAAGCAACAAGAATGCGGGAAAGTGTTTAAAAATTTTATAGAGGGTGAAATAACGTTTCCGCCTACTTACAAATATGATTTATTTAGTGACGATTATGATACCAGTGAAAAATGTCGAGCGCCAGCTTGGACGGATCGTGTACTTTGGAAACGACGCCCTCTATATCCCGATAATTCCCCTGATGATGACCATAATTCTGGTAAATTAGTACATTACGGCCGAGCGGAATTGAAACAAAGCGATCATCGACCAGTTATAGCCATAGTAGATATTGATATAAGAAAAGTTGATATTGAACGTAGGCAAAATGTATTTTATCAAGTAATCGCCGATTTAGGACCACCAGATGGTACAATAATAGTCCAATGTGAAGACAAAAATGTCAACGAAGACACCACAATTTTCGACGACAATCTCACCCACACGTTACTTCAAGAATTATCTCAAATCGGTGACGTCATCTTAGTTAGATTCGTTGTGGACACGATGTGGGTTACTTTCCGAGATGGACAATGCGCGCTTACCGCAGCTGCAAAGAAATTTGTGCGCGTTTTAGATTGTGATCTTACTTTATCGTTGAAAACGCCGAATTGGGTCGAACAGGCCAAAGAAGAAATTGGATTATGTTCGAGCAACACCGTTCCTTTACACATATCAACCCCCGAATATAATTGTCTTGGTATACCCGAAGTTAAATCAAGTGGTGGGAGAACTGGACCACCTTCAAGACCTCCACCACCTAGTGTTAAATCACCAGCTGCACCAAAAAAACTTTTACCAAGGGTGAGAAATTAAATTAATTAATTAAATTAAAGTAATAATACTACATTTTTTTAGGCTGGAGTAATAAGTATTCCAAATGCAACAAAACCAGTAACGATACCAGATTTTCCCGCTCCAATATTAACACAAGAAGAGACGGGAATTTATGAAGAGATAAGTGATGATGTGGTAAGTTGTCCGGAGCCGCAGGGACCGCCTCCGCCGCCCCCAAGACCGGAACCGACCCTACCTCCATTGCCACAACGAGGTCCACCTCCGGTACCGGCCCGATCAGCTCCGCCTCCTCCGTTACCGGCTCGACCTCGTTAAAAAATTTAAAAAAAAAGATGATAGCCAATTAGTATTATTATTATAATAATTATTTTATGTTGAGGTAAGTATGCTTTTTGCGGCCATTAAAAGAAATGACCAATAAAAGTTTACTTATACAAAAAAAATCATGTACAGGTGTTTTAAAAGATTAAGTTAAATTTAAATGTTACATTTTTAAACTTTCAAAACACATTGTATATTATTTTGAGATGCATTCCTTTCATTTTCCTATCGTTTACTCTTGCCTAGTCAATGCTGAATAAAGTTCATATCACGAAATAGGTGCGATGTAATATCCTTACTTATGTGAAAACGAACTGTAACTGTGTATTTTATTATTATTAGTTATAAAAGTGGCAACGTTTTTCTGTATGCGCATTGTCAAAAACAACCGTAGGATTCATAACGAAATAACGATAATGAATTAAAAATTTAAAGTTATAAAACGCTGTTAATGGATAGACGTTAGAGTTATTTTTTAAAAATATCTCAGAGTAATCAGATAAAATATTGTTGGCTGTTTATGAAATATAACTTGCTTGGTTATGAAAATCTCAAAATTAATTTCCTCATTTATATCTTACATCCTAAAGATTATCCAAAATTAATTTTCATTTTAACTTCGGAAGAAGTTAAGGTGTGCCATCTACTTTTCAACCTACGCAATCAATTCCCACTCCTAAATTTAATTTGTAAACTTAAGGATAGATGGCGAGATGAGAATTGTTCATTTGAATTCGGGGTTGATTTAGGAATAAGATCCTCAATAATAAGATGACTCAAAGTTACCAAAGCTAATAAATATTTAATATGTTGCAGTTTCTTGGAAAATGTGTTTATTTGTTCCCTTGTTATCCCACATCCAAAAACGCTTTTGAACATACGAAAACACTTAACTTTTCAACGCAAGGATAATCAAACCCAAAAATAAATTTTTGCAACAAAACAACGACTTAAATGGAATCATACGTACTAAAACGAATAACAATGTGTAATTATTTTTGGCGATGTACAATGTTAAATACTTGTACAAAATCGTGTCAAGGATTACATAATTATAATTTCATTAAGAATATTAACTTGAATAATTTAAAAATAGTCAATACTATAAGGTTGGATTTGTACTGACGTTTGCGGGAGTTTATTTGGCAGACATGAAACATAAATCTGCCTTCAAACTGGGCGATATTGCACATATTCGCGGGAGGGAGATGTTTGTTTAGTCTTGAACATCAATATTTACGCACGGCGAATGGCCAAGGAACAAAACTGCGCTCGGCAGCTAGCGTATCGGATTGTATATTTTGCGATCCAATACGCCCGAGCGAAACGACAACACAAAGAAAATGATTTTGAGGCGTGTGGAAAAACGCTAAGGCGATCGTTTTCGAACAGTTTTGTTTGGTTACTTCTACTTCTTCCGCTTTGTTTCTTTTTGTTATTTACTTCTTTAACCACATTCGAATCGCGTATCATTCACTCTTTCGGCATATGAATATATGCTTTACGTGAGATTTCTGCTTATGCAAATTATTTATGACGGAAATGAATTATTAATTTATAAATGTACTCGATTTACGTTTGTTTGCACGAGTAAAATGATAGTCAGTTTTAGTCACTGAATTGATCATGATTAATTCATTTTAACTTGAATATGTAAAATTATTTCGCTAATTTCGAATAACTCAAATAACTTCAATCATATTTATATTTGTGGATTAAATTACACTGGTCTACATCTACAGTGGTTTTGTTGCCTTAGATATAAGATTGATTTTGGATATATTTATACAATGATTTTGTAAGATTTGAATTGATTTTGATATATTTATTTTCATAAATATATTCGTAATCTGAGCACTTGGAAACATAAAAATTTGCAAAGATATCCAGGGCATAAAAAAAATTTTTTGTTGTAGAGTTATTTTAGACACTGAAATGCAAAAAAAAATGTTTTTTTTTAATGTATCATCTTAACGACTGAGGTAACAAACCGAACGTTAGGGTTCCAACGTTTAAATATAAAGAGAAACACCTGCGTCGGAGACGTACAGACGACGTCGTCGTGAGCCCGAAAACAAGGCACGCGCTGATACTTCCGTTTCCTGCGTAGGCAAAGCTCCGTAGAGTTTCGAGATCGAAACGAGAAGAAAAGGGATGAAGAACGACTCGTTATTTCGGTTGCGGGTGATTTTTCACCCCTTTTTTTTCTTCTTTCTGTCTGTCTATACATACCGGTTCTTTTCCTTCGTTCGGATACTTATTTTTTACGTTCAAATGATTGACGTTCCAAACGGCATAGGTAGAGGGCTTATTTTCGATTCAAACATCTGTTTGTATTTACTAAGAAAATAGAGGAAATTTTTTAGGACTTCCTGAGAATTTTATTTAAAAAAAATTTATTAAAAACAATTTTGATTATTTGCAAAATATTAATACATTTTTATTTTTTAGAAGAATTTGGATTATTTCTCGAATATATTTGATTTCAAGGATATCAATTCGCAGTCTTTAATCGGGATGCATAATTCCGAATCGATGGATTCTTTGATGTAGCCTTTTTTGCATTTGCAACCCTGAGCGTACGTCCTTTTACAACTAGGAATTAATGGAGAACGCACTTCGTTACAATAATCTGGACATTGTTGTACACGCCTGGAATATTTTTGGTTGCTCATGCAATTAGGTATTCGCATATTATTCGCTAAATAATATTAAAAAAATTAATTTCAATTTTAGGAAATAAGAAATATATCTCGAGTTCGAAATGAAGGATTTTGGTGAATGTCAAAATTTGAGGAATTCCATTTCAAACTCAAAATATGAAATTTGGAGAATTGTTTTAAATACTTACTACAAATTGCATAAACCACAATAACTGTACACACAATTTTAATCATTTTCAATACAAATGATTCAAAAATTAAAATTGAAATGTTCACAAAACAGTATAAGTAGGCCTTTTATACATGATATTGTTGCAAAAGTATGAGCAACCTCATATTTTCATACCTTGTCATGAATTGGGCATTTTTTGTAAATTCTTTTTCTATTAATTCTCACATTTATTATTGTATCGAAATAGTATTTCGAAAAATGATCGATAAAAATGTTGTATTAGGTCTAAATAATAATTCGAATGTCAAACCAAAACGTCAGGCTGTCTTGAATAAGGTGGAAATACTTGGATTTCCTCACAGCCTCCAGACACAACCGGAACTAAAGACGGGGGGAGTGTCAAAAGTTAGTTCGCCCTGTATCAAATTAGTACCCAGGAGTATTTAGGAAGGGATAGCAAAGTGTTGAATTGCAAATTGCGATCTCAAGCTGCCGATGTATCGATCGTTTTGGTAGTTGTTTGAGATTTCTCTTAAAAAAATAAATAAATATAATAAGATTCTTAGAAAATAATTCTAAAATAAGAATGTTATGGGGACGGATAAACTTTGAACGTTAACCAGATCTTAATGTTTAACCGGATATTATTGCGAATTGGCTTAGGTATTTATAGAGCCTCACTTCCTTAACCAATGTATGCAGAAATAATAATGTTATGGATGATGAGCAAAAATGATGGATTAATTTAATAAATCATAATATAATAGAAGCTATTTTTTTTTTGATATTTTCAGCTTACAGTTATGATGAATAATTTTTACATATTTTCATAAATTTTTTAAGCTCAGTCACGGCATACAAAGTTTAATCTTAAACCCTTCACGTTTTGATATCGCATAAAACTATCTTTTCTCCATGACTCACAATAATTTTAGATTAATCTTGCTTTCGCATTAGGTTTAAGCGTCACTTTTTTTCGCATTTTTATTTCGAGGGCTCGACAATTATTCACGGTTTATCACCGGACGTATCGTTCACATGATTTGTGATCATAGTTGTTGTGTGTTCAACGTTGGACTTTCGTGTTAAACAAAATAGCACAGTTTAACGTCTCGTTATATTTACCTACGACCTTGTTTACATGATTATCATTCTTTTTTAATATTTTTATCCAAGTAATTATATGAAAAAGTAATGTTAATATCAGTTTTTGTTGGGAAAACAAATTAAATATTTAATTGAATCTAAACCCTCTATTTATTTTTAGATTAATTCATTGATAATTTACCGCGTAGTCTGTGGTTAACCACAAATTACCTTTCTTATCGCGGGATGTCGTCTTGAAATTCCGTATGAATGGGTCATACATTAGGATTTCATCGTACGGTTGTCTTTCGAAGAAAAGGTATGGTAGACGTAAATCTTTCCAGAGGTAAATTGCGTTTGTTGTTTACGTTTTCTTCATTTTTTATTTTATTTTCTTGTTAAAAAGGGTCTTGTTCTTCTATTTTTTAAGTTTTAGGATTAGTGACTTTCAAAAAACTACTAAGATATAAACTAATAAGATTATGGGGGACCAACATTGTTATTGATTTTCAAAATAAAAAAATTAATCAAGTTGTAAATTTCAAATTGTCAAGATATCGATATTTCTAGCCATATTAACTTTTATTTATTTTTTTGTACATATTAACTTAAAGCTTTTTATATTACAGCCGGACCCGCCCAAAGCTGCACTTTGGTAGAATATTTGAAGAGACTTCAGGGACTAGCACAAATACAGGCCAAGGTCTCTATCTCAATTGCAGTTTATCTTGAATAGTCTTCATTGTACTGCCTCGATTGCAAGCAGCCTCGGCAAAATTTTTTGAAGACCAGCACAAATACAAGTCAAGGTCACTTGCGGCCGAGGTTCTACCTCGATTGCAGTTTATCTTGAATGGTCTCCATTTCAGGTCCTCGGCCGCAAACGAACAGGTTGTAAATTTTATCTTTTTTAAAATTTTTAATTAATTTTTTTTTAAATTATTAATTTTTTATTTTAGGGGTAAGTTAATGTTTAAGTTTAAAATCATGAAGATCTCGTACGAGGGGGGCTTTCGGGTGTTAAAACGCGTCGGTAGCGGTACCGAAGTAGAAATAGACTCCCGACTTAAGACGTATCGCCCACATAAAGCGTGAGCAGCGCTCAAATACTCAGACAGTAGTCGACTTCTCCCGCCGATGGTGTATGTTCGAAATCGCGTCATTTTAACGCATCGTAATTTCGCGGTTAAATTTTAGACAATTTTTGTTTTTCATTTCGGAGTGTGCACAGTTTTTGATCTTTTGGTTATCTTCATTGTTACAAATCATTCGGAATTGGTAAGTTTTGGATTTAGTGTAATTTTGGTTGTGATTAATATTTGTTTTTTGAAATGATTGTGAAGAATTAAATTCTTTTTAAGATATCGTCGCGTATAAGAGTAGCGATCTTAATTAAACTAATTGATCGTAATAGAGTGGTGGTTGGTTGGAAGAGGATTAAAAATGATCGTTTTTTTTTGGGTCGGTTTCGTTTGGTTTTTTTTTCAAAATGGCAGATTTTCGGACGTCGGGACGCCAAACATCAGCCTTTTCGACGTCCGTACGTGGCGCATTGCGAGCCTTCGGTACACATGTGCTTTCTATATTTAATCTCGTTGCAGACTTGTAGGTTTTATGTACCCAGTTTACGATTTCTGGAATGAACCCTACGCTTATATAGACGCACTCTTTACGCAGAAAACATTTTCGCTTCCAAAACGGTTTGTTTGAATCCTTTAATGTTTTCATTACTTCGAAATCTCTAATCATTAAGGATTTATCAAAACAACGCGGATCCAATTTTAGATTTTATTATAAATGTTGAGGAAAAAATGAAATTTTAAAAGCGGTCTGAGATTTTTTTGGGTCAATCGTGTTAGGAAAAGGAAAGATGTTTGAATACTCGTTTGTTAGTTTGTTTAGGTTAACGTGACCAAAAAGTGCCTTTTGTAGGGTAAGGTGAAGTATCGAGAACGAGAGCAGCCTGGTTCTGGTTTTGTTTAAGTTTCTGACCACGATTCGGCCAATAAACGCCAATAGCAAATCTATTTTCAGCTGTAAAAATCGGCCGCACTTAAATTTTTTCCTAGTAGCCAATATTTTCGTGTTCGAAACCAAGTTCGTTATTGAAAATGTTCTGAAAACAATTTCTGATTCAACATTATTTATAGATCCCCTCTTTGAAATACAATCATCACAATAGTTTTAATGTTTATTTTATTTTGTTTCTGAATTGGAATCTTAGTTTTTTTGTGACTGTCGAGTTGTAAAAGGGTTTGAAAAATGGTGTGTTAAAGTAAATAATCGAATGTAGAATGTAAACAGAAAATCGGTGGATGGTTAGCGTGAAACCGGACACCATTAGAAAGTCGATCCACTGGTTGTGAAGAGGGCGAGTTGTTAAAATTTCTTAAGACGGTCCTTGAAGGAGAGACGCTCCACCGGATATCATATTTAACAAGCAATTCAAACCGAAACCTTATCAACATGCTGGCCAGCAATTACTCATTTCGTATGCGACTCGTCTCGCTTGCCAGAGGAGAGTATTTTATGCATAGAGAAAAACAATGGTACTCGTACAAATACGTGACTACGCCTCTGCTTTCGTCTCTTTATTGTTAGATTAATCCGTCCGTTTTAATCTGTTTCTAGTAATCAAACTTCTCACCGCCACCCGGTAGGCTAATTTAATTTTATTTTTATTTTCTCTGAGGGTTTTGAACAAAACTACTTCTTTGTTTCTTCTTTCTTAACTTATCACGGTTACACCGACTTCCGGTTACACCGGATGCGAACACTCCCGGAATTTTAATCACTTTAAATCATTCCTACATCAACCCAAGTTATAAAACTACTTCATCAGGTTCACTTTAATTTTAGTGAAATTAACAAATTTCTTTGTAAGAATTGTTATCTTTATTATTCATTGGTATCAATGTCTGTGTTAAATATTCATATAAATTAGAATCATAATTGATTTCAATAACGCATTTAACCCGAAACTCGCGAAATTGATTCGACCATCCAGCCAACACTGTATGCACCGATCGACGCACAAATTTAATTAAGGTGTGCAATAATTATATTGTTTTGAGCAATATTCATCGTCCTGACCGTCGAAAATTGCGTAGGCCCGGTAATGCATAAACGGGAATCAATCAATTTCATACGAATTTTCTTTTCTAACTCAATTTCCATATACCAAATTGACCTAATTAGAATTCTATATGCGATCAATTGAAATACAGAATTTAATTACAACTAAATTAGTAAATATTTAAAAAGAGTTTCTGATTGTTTGGTACATAAAGCGTTGACCATGAGGTTTTGGTCTATAAGCGGACCGTCCATAGGTGGTCCTTAACAATGAGCTATAAAAGAAGCACCGACTGCACTTAAATTGACCCCCATAACGGCACGTCTGGTGTATTATTAGTTAGAATTTATAGTATTTCGTTTCGAGGATTTTTATCGTGAGAGAATAAAAATTCGTTTGTTGGGGGGAGGGTCGTAAAACGCTTCGAAATGTTCTCTCGGACCGTTTGAAAAAAATGTATCTACTGGGCACGGTTTGAGAGAAACAAAAGCCGAAGCCGTTGCTGCGTTTATTCGTGTTTTTAAGCGGTATTCTAATTATAGACATCATATTTTAAAGGCAGGAAATAAGGGTTTATGATATCGGATTTTCAAAAACTAAACAAGTTAAATTATAAACTCGCCCGACGATGATCTAAAACACGCTTCCTCTCCGTTAATACCACGTGCTGCAAAAAATATTATTTCATATACTTATATTACTTTGTCGATCAGTCTCCTTTGAAATTAGGAGAATTATAAAGAATTTGCAAACACCTTAATTGAAAATACCATTTAATACCATCAACTTTCATTTATAGTCAAGGTGACTTGGCTGGTCAGAAATAGGAAAATATAGACACAACGAACATTAAAATTTTACGAACACTTAGAAATTCTTTACGACTGTTACGACTATTACAAATCATTTTAATTATTTAATTTTGTCTATTTATTAGAAAAGTTTTAGTACAAAAGTTGGTGAAAATTTCATTCTTAACAATGTTGCATTTTCTAAGTCGGCCAAGATTAATACTTGGGGCGGGATAATTATTGTTCGTGATATAAGAAACAATCTCGGCCGAATCGAAGAGGTCGGCCGTTCCAAGTATTGCTTGTGATATAGGAAGTAAGCTCGGCCGCCCCAAGTACGGCGACGTCTTCGAAGTCGACCGAGGTTACTTCCCATATCATGAACAATACTTGGGGCGGCCGACATCTTCGAAGTCGGCCGAGATAATTTCATTCTTTTATTTGCTTTGTAGACGTCGGCCGCCCCAAATATCTTGTAATATAGGAAGTAACCTCGAAGACGTCGCCATACTTGGGGCGGCCGACATCTTCGAAGTCGGCCGAGATAATTTCATTCCTTTGTTTGTTTTGTAGACGTCGGCCGCCCCAAGTATTGTTCGTGATATGAGAAACAATCTCGGCCGATTTCGAAGACGTCGGCCGCCCCAAGTATTGCTTGTGATATGGGAAGTAACCTCGGCCGACTTCGAAGACGTCGGCCGCCCCAAGTATTGTTCGTGATATGAGAAACAATCTCGGCCGACTTCGAAGACGTCGGCCGTCCCAAGTATTGCTTGTGATATAGGAAGTAACCTCGTCCGACTTCGAAGACGTCGGCCGCCCCAAGTATCTTGTGATATAGGAAATAACCTCGAAAACGTCGCCGTACTTGGGGCGGCCGACGTCTTCGAAGTCGGTCGAGGTTACTTCCTATATCATGAATAATACTTGGGACGGCCGACGTCTTCGAAGTCGGCCGAGATTATTTCTTATATCACGAACAATACTTGGGGCGGAGATAATTTCAAAAAGTATTTCTTCCATAAGTTTCAAGCAGGTTATGAGAAAAAATCTCGGCCGCCTTAAGTATTGTTCATGATACTTGGCCGCCCCATGTATTATGAACAATAATCGGAGTATAATACAAAAAACTCTTCTTCACTTTTGCTCTCAGATGCGTAAATCTCGAAAAAAACACGAATTTTTGTAAATCATTTAATTTTTTATCAGCTTAGTAATATATAATTTGACGTTGATATAAAACATGTTCTAAAACTTGTTGAGATTGAAATTCAATCTTCCTTTGTAAATTGAGTAACTCAAAAAAAAAAAAAAGAATGTGATAGTGTTTCATAAGACATAACAAAAAGCAAATAACATAAGTGATACTTCAAGTTTTCTGTTTTAATAAATTCGTCTTGGTATATCTTAGTAATAGTAATCAGTATTAATTTGTGGTGATTTGGTTAATTAACATCAAAAGCACGTTCGTTTATTAAAATGGTTCAATCGTTAAATATCATTAACAGAGAGGACGAAGAGTCCAGTAGGACTCGCGCTGTTTATTTAATAAAACGAGCTCATTATACAATCAAACAAAGCGGCAGCCGCATCAATAAGTTTGTTATTCGCGCTCCATAATGCGCTCAATTGAGTGCATCGCAAGAACAACGTCTTCAACGTCGCCGTCTTAAATCCGACTCTAAACAGAGCGAGATTTTAAGTAACTTCCACAAGTCACGCCTATAATATTCCACGGGCGACATCCAAAAATAAATTTTCAACTGTTAGAAGTCAATGCCACTGCATGTGTGCGGTGCGCAATGGAAAGGACCGCAAAACCAAAAGTAAACCAAAAACAACGAAACGAACCAAGAAACGGACGCGGACTGTTTTGAGATGAATGCACATCGCAAATAATTAATAAATAAAATCGACCTTCAAAATGGCGGTTCGTTCAATTAGTAATGTTCTTTACATCTCGTATATAGATTAAGACACGAGATTAATTTATTAATGATCCATACCGTGACTCATTTATCCTTTATACTACATGAATACAAATTAAATTAAGAATAACAAAAGCAAAATAATTTACAATTCATTAACGATAAATAAATACTAAAATGGTGCTAGACCACTAAAGCTACTACATCTGGCACCTACCGGATACAAACAGATGACGTCACAAGCATCAAGGGATCGGGGTAGTTCTAATAACAAAATTTGACACCCTAAATCTATTAAAATATTATTTATTTTTATATCAAAAAAATTGCGTTTAATAGAAAAAATAAATAACCATAATGTTTAGATTAAAAGTGATGGTTAGTTTTAATAATTCGATCATTTTGATTCTCGGAGTAACATCCGGTTTAGCTGGAAGCGTTAATGCGTAAACCACAGTGAATCAATTCCAAGAAATATATTTTAATATCCGTCGACTACCTTCTGCCCGTTAGAGACTATAGAAACTTGGCAGGTACGGAAAACGAAGAGAGAGACCGCAAAGGGATTTTTGTTTTAAAGACACGTGCAGGCCACATGTGCCCCTCGTTCTTGTCGCCTTCTTCAAGTTGCCATTCCATCGACTACCGTTCTCGCGTGTCCGGAGTTGGTTCTGACGCGTCTAAAACCCATTTAAAACAATTTCCTCACTTAACTCAAAATCCGTTTCACTCGACGTGTTTGTTTGCGTTAAATTTCGCGGGTTTACAAATTCGCAATAGAAATAGACGCTGTTTCCTGGTGGTTTTAAAAGTCCGTACCCGCGCGTTGGTTAAATCCGTCGATAGTCTATTTCCATCGCGATTTCCGGTCCGCGGAATAGATACGGTAGGTTGTCGAGACCAAAAGAGAAACACAAAAACGTGACCCGGGAGTTTTATGTAATGTCTACGACTTGAATTTGAATTACTTCACTAGCGCTCTCTAAGTAGGTGAGACAGATTTAGAAATACCGCTTTTCTACCATTTCCTGTTCAAACGGAAACGATATTTCCAAAATTTTATACTATTTATTTCTAGATTTATCTTAACATTATCATTATTTCTTATTTTTATATAAATTTACAATAACAAATTAAGCTAGACGATAAGATGTTAAATTTTGTAATTTTCAAGATGCCCCCGAAGATGGTGTAACACCGAAATCGGTTAGGCTATAATTTTTTTAACTCCATGATTTAAGCTCCAATTTGAATTGCTTTTTTGTATAAGTCAGCTATAACATATATTGATTTTAGTAAATTAATTTTTTTTATTTTTTAGATGCTTCCCAAAAAAGAGAAAAATGGCTCTCAGAATAACATTCTTAGTGTCTATTCTTCTTTTTCACACGTCAGCTTCGAATTTTTCAAATGACAATTTAATGGATGATGCGTCTTCCGAGATTGGTAAGAATAAATTTTTAATAGCGTTACATATACTTGAATTTTATTCAAATTTAGATGAGCGCAAAGTTGAATCGGAACATTTTTTGCCATATTTTCCAAAGAAAATGTCGAAAATTCGCGTGTATGTTGAGGGTGATATGGTACGATTGAAATGTAAAGCTGAAGGTTATCCGGTTCCTGATGTAGCGTGGTATAAAAATGATGAAATACCGGTTCGAAATTTAGAGAGGGTTAGATTCACCAAATGGTTTATGGTGATGGAAGATGCGGTGTATCGAGATACTGGGAATTATACGTGTGTAGTCTGCAACGATCTAGGATGCATTAATCACACCTTTGCGTTGACAGTTGTTGGTAAGTGAATGAAGTTAGTTTCCGTATTGGCGTGTTACAAGTTTTTCGGAACCACTACATAGAACGGTTCCCGGCAAAACCAAACATCGTTTCTGGCTACCCGAAAAATGTATCAGCTGTAGTTAACTCTACAGTTGAGTTGGAATGTCCGCAATTATCCGATTCGTTACCATTCATTCATTGGTTTCGTGGACTTCCTCGGACTAACGAAACTATTTATGCCAACAAATTTCTGCCGCAGGTATTTCGTATTAGAAAAGGAAATTTGATGGTGAAGGTTTTTGTAGCGATTAACGTTGGTGTTGGTTTTTCAACATTTATTATCCCAACTTATTTTCAAATCTGTTCCTTTGCACGTCCATGTCTTTTTAGGCCCTCCGTACATAATAGAGAATCCTAGCAACACCACGGTGGCAGTTGGTGACGGTGTTAATCTAACGTGTAAAGTCATATCCGACTTAAACCATAACATTTCCTGGGTGTACAATAATAACAGTGTTAATAATAATGAAAATGAGGTATATAATAGTTATCATCATTTTATTAATTTATTAACGATTTCATTTCTGTAATAGACCGACGAAACATCTCTTGGAATTCTTAGATTGGTTAACGTCACCCATGACCAAGAGGGGTGGTACACATGTTATGCTACTAATTCAGTTGGTCGTGCAATAAAAAGCGCTTACTTAAAAGTAGTCGATGATTACGAATCAATTGCTAATACTCTTTCAAATGTTATCAACGAACCAAAAAATTTGGATTTTATCCCAAACAATCTATTTCGTTTAAAAAGCCTTTCATTGGTGGCAGAAGATCCGAACGAGTATAAACCAAAATTAAATTTTTTAAACAATAAGGCTGAGCAAATCATTCAAGTATCTTTGGGTACTAACGTCACCTTAAACTGCGATGTTAACGAAATGAACTCGACCACAATTACTTGGTACAATAACAAAAACGATTCCATCGAATCATCTGTTAAACAAAAAAAGTTTTCAATCAATGTCAAAATAATGACGATGGAAGATTATGGAAATTACAGTTGTAAAGTTTGTTTAGATGGGCAATGTATTCAAAAAAATTTTAGTATTGGTACGTAAGACTTCGTCATTTTATTAATAGATATTAATTAAAACATTTTAGATCAAGGAACTCAAGATGACGACGAAGAAGATTACACCCCATCGGGGAAGAAAACACCCCATATACCTTATTTTACAAAAAAAATGACCGAAAATGGGCTTAACGTAAAAGTTGCGGGGAATATGGTAACTTTTAAATGTAAAGCTGGAGGTTATCCCGTTCCTAATATAACATGGTACAAGAATGGTGAAACGCCACCGGTACGAAGCTTGGGTGAGATCAAGTACACCACATGGAACATGCAGATGCAAGATTTGATAATTACGGATGCCGGGAAATACATGTGCGAGGCCTGCAACGAGGTGGGATGCATTAACTACACCTACACGTTGACAGTTGTTGGTAAGTGAATGAAATTAGTTTCCGTATTTGCGTGTTATAATTTTTTCGGAACCACTACATAGAACGGTTCCCGGCAAAACCATACATCGTTACTGGCTACCCGAAAAACGTAACAGCTGTAGTTAACTCTACAGTTGAGTTGGAATGTCCGCAATTATCCGATTCGTTACCATTCATTCATTGGTTTCGTGGACTTCCTCGGACTAACGAAAACGAAACTATTTATGACGACAAATTTCTACTAAAGGTATTTTTTACGAAAAAAAAAAAGAAATTTGACGGTGAAGGTTTTATATTGTTCTTTGGTTTCGTGGTGAAGGTTCTTTTGTAGCTATTAACGTTGGTGTTGGTTATTCAACATTTAGTGTCCTAACTATTTTTTCAAATCTGTTCCTTTGCACGTCCACTTTTTAGAGCGTTACCATAACCGTCCGATCATGATAGAGAATCCCAAAAACACCACGGTGGCAGTCGGTGACAGTGTTAATCTAACGTGTAAAATCCTCTCCGATTTAAACCCTAAAATTTACTGGGTCTTCAGTAATAATACAATTCACGATGATAATGAGGGAACGGTTATTACTCAGGTATCACAACTTTGTATTTTTTTAATCGTACTCGACGTCATCATTGTAAGTATGCAACCAATAACTCGATTTGCGTATTTCAATACGAGTATTGTGATGTTGGTTGCATCCTTGCAATGATGACGTCGGGTACGATAATTAATTAACACAGTGTACTCATTTATTAACAATTTCGTTTTTATAATAGAACGATGAAACATCTCCTGAAATTCTTAAACTGGTTAACGTCACCTATGACCACGAGGGATGGTACACTTGTTATGCTGCTAATACTCTTGGTCATACAACAGGAAGTGCTTATTTAAAAATCGTTGATTGTAAGTATAATTAATTAAACATTTATAAAAAATTAATAATAAATTTTGTTTAGCATTAGATTCAGAAACTCATGGACAACCCTTATTAATCATTATAATGGGAATTGTTGTTTCGATTTTATTCACAGGAGCGTTAGTAATTGTTATTTATGTCATCACTAAATGGAAACAGTAAGTAAATGTTAATAATTGTTTTTTCAACAACAAGATTTAACAAGGTCCATTATATCAAGATTTTACTGCATACATCTATTTTAATAATACTAATATAAATTCTTTTTTTGTTTATAAAATAGAGAAAAAATTAAAAAATTAGTTGCTATAGAAACCGCAAGAGCGGCAGTAGTAACTCAATGGACGAAAAAAGTGATAATAGAGAAAAATCATTCAGAAAATGTTTCCGAACCTTTACTAATGCCGATTGTAAAAATTGAGAAACAAAAAACTCAAAACAACAACGCTGTTGATGGAATGATATCGGAATATGAACTCCCGATGGATTCGGATTGGGAAATTCCCAGGGAAAGTTTACATCTAGGTAAAAGTCTTGGGGAGGGAGCTTTCGGGAAAGTCATGAAAGCTGAAGCTATTGATGTCGTTAAAGCTGGAGTGAGCAGCATTGTTGCGGTAAAAATGTTAAAAGGTACATCACATTAATAACAAATAATAAATAGTATTACAAATTAATTTTTTTTTCATAGAGGGTCATACAGATAACGAAATGATGGATTTAGTCTCAGAGATGGAAATGATGAAAATGATTGGAAAACACATTAATATTATAAACCTCTTGGGATGTTGTACTCAAAATGGGCCGTTGTATGTTGTGGTGGAATATGCGCCTTATGGAAATTTAAGGGATTTTCTTCGTCAACATAGACCGTCATCTGGGTATGAACCAGCAATTGGAATGCCAGAAAAGGAAAAGAAAACTCTAACTCAGAAGGATTTGGTTTCTTTTGCTTATCAAGTTGCGAAAGGGATGGAGTATTTAGCTTCGCGGAGGGTTAGTTTTTGGTAAATTGTTTGTTTTTGTTCTAATTTTTTGATTTGTTTTAGTGTATCCATCGCGATTTGGCTGCTAGAAATGTGTTGGTTAGCGAAGATTACATTCTTAAAATCGCCGATTTTGGATTAGCCAGAGACATACATTGCAGCGATTATTACAGAAAAACTACGGATGGAAGATTACCTGTTAAATGGATGGCACCAGAAGCTTTGTTCCATAGAGTTTACACCACACAATCAGACGTTTGGTCTTATGGAATATTATTATGGGAAATTATGACACTGGGAGGTACACCATATCCATCTGTACCGAGTGTAGAAAAGTTATTCCAATTATTAAGGAATGGCCATAGAATGGAAAAACCTCCGTGTTGTTCCCTAGAAATTTACATGTTAATGCGTGAATGTTGGAGTTATAAAACAAATGAGAGGCCGTTGTTTTCGGATTTGGTGGAAGATTTAGATGATATATTAACGATAACGGCGAATGAGGAATATTTGGATTTGGGGTTGCCGCAATTGGATACGCCGCCATCGAGTCAAGAGTCAAGTTGTGACGAATCAAGCCCGCCATTTTAAAAGATCCTAGTCATACTCAACGATTGAATACAAAAAGATGCAGATATAAATATACTATTTAAAAAATGTTATTATTAATTAATTATTAGTAGATTTAAAGTATTATTAAAGGTAAGTTAGGCGTATGTTCGTTGCATTTGTGAGATTAAAATCGACGAGTTGTTACGTTTAAGGTGCTACGTGAAAAGTATTTTGGTTTTACAAATACAAAACAATATTTTTATACTAGAAAGGATTGATTGCTTTGTGTACATAGCCTAAAATTAATGAATAAGTAACTTAAATGTCAATAACAATTTTGTATTTAACGAGTTTTAATGAGTTAGTTTACAGTTTAAATAGACAGAATCTGAAACATATCTATGTATATTACTAATAAGTAACAGAATAATAGTTTGTTGTTATGGACACCAAAGAAAATTTTCTGCCAGGAATTGTGGAATAAATAAAGAAATTTTCAAAACGTTTCTGTTATTTTATTTCTTCAAAAAAAGAGCAAAAATAGAAAAAAACCTATATAAAACCGAGTTTCACCGCACGGTCGATATAACCAGTGATATACAATTTAGTTTAACTGACAATTGCAGGTTCCAATATTCCATTGTATCCACTGCAATCGTATTACTATTGACTATCGCGTGCGCAATTCTATTTTTGACTTATACATGTTGGCTTGTTACGTAAAATTTTATGTGACAAGTTTAAAAATATCGGTGAGGAAGTCGAAGTCAATTTCTAAGACGTAAGAAAGCAGAAAAAATAAATTTTATTCCGCCGACATTAATTGTGCTAATAGAGAAAAATAAAATATAATGATATATAAAACTAAAACACATCGCGCTTTGTTTTGTGATATTTTTGTAATAACAATACTAAAAACGGCATATTTCACCGAACGGTTGGTATCCTCAAATACATTTCCCGCAATATTTGATAAAATCTACATTGAATATATACATATACAGTTCCCAAAATCGCATTAATGTTCATATTGATTGGGCCGCCAGAGATACGCGTATTGTAACGTTGGCTTTATTTATTCGACGTTGCTCGTTTTGTTGGGATTGCCGACAATTTCGCAAAATGTTTACAAGATCAATTTTGCCATCGACTTCACCGAATAAAATGACATTGTATCCGCTACGCAAGAAATTTTACGAGCAATAAACGTAGACTACCGTACCCTATTATTTTCCACTACATAAATTGAGGCGGCGAATATCATCTTTTTGCCAACCTCCCTCTCACCCCCGTTGGAATTTTGCGGAAACTCATAAACTACCCAAATACGCTTGTTTTAAAGAGATTTCTGAATAATCACTTATGTCTTAATATCCTCTTTATGGTTTACGAAAGATCTTCGTAGAACATGTATTATTGCACATCTAAGCCAAAAAGGTAATTGAGGAGAATTTTTGAAGCTAGTGATAAGTAATAAGACGAATTACAGATCTCTTTATTTATGTGTAATGTCAACTAGATTGTTTGGTGATTGATGCCACAACAGGACACTATTTTGAAAGGAAGATTTAATATATTGTACTAGTGTACTCGAGTCTAGAAAGAGATATTAAAAGTTTTTTGACACCCACTGCGTTATTAAGTTTGCCGAGGCAGCTTGGCTGCCGAGGCAGTGGTTCAAGTATTCATAAAAGAACAAATAATAAAACGCTTTACAATCTAGGTGAATTATTTAAAAGCCGAGGCAGCTATGCTGCCGAGGCAGTGGAGACTACTTCGTTGCAAAAAAGACACTAAAATTACTTTTAATAAGAATGCGTTACTTGGAAGCCGAGGTAGTCTGCAACTATGCTTGTAGAGCGTATTCGAGTCTAAAAAGTCATATTAAAAGTTTCTTGACACTCACTGCGTTATCAAGTTTGCCGAGGCAGCTTGGCTGCCGAGGCAGTGGTTCAAGTATTCATAAAAGAACAAATAATAAAACGCTTTACTTTTAATGGTTAAGATTAATTTCGTAAATAATTGAAATAGGACATATGTTCATTAAAATTTTTTTTTGGTAATTGGATTAGCTATCATATGTCAAAGTTTGATGGTGAGCTAATAAATCACCTGTACAGAGATTTTAATTTTGCTGATAATGAAGTTGACGGTTAAAATTTAAGTTTTATAGCTAGATAAGAAATATTCGGAATAATTCAATTCAATTTATTATCCATAATAGTTTATAGGAATCTGTATAAATATGAATTTATGTGAGTAGATAAAATAAGTGGGTTTTATCGATTTGCACTAACAAGTAGGGAAGAAGACAAGGCGTTTCCGTGATATTCCCCTTAATTTGCATAGAAACCCAATAGAAATACGAATTGGCAAAATTTCCGGCCGAAGGGGTAAATTTATTTGCCGAATTTATAATTAATATCCAATAGCGGGTCCCGAAACGGTTGTAAATTCCGTTAAAAATGCGCCGGCCGAAATTCCTCTATCTAATAACCGCGAACTTCGGATGTTTCCCAAAGTTTGCCGTTTTCATTTGCATGCAGCCTTCGAGGTTTTAATAAAAATCGGACAAACTCATTACCGACATAGCTCGGGGCTTACCCCACCTGGAATCTAGCAATTAGGAAAATTAAATTATCCAGCTCAATCCGGCGTTCAACGTCAGAATTTGGTTAAACGCTTGATTGATTTGCAAACTTTCAATACTTTTCATTGCTTTCTAACTTGAACTTTAAACATTTTCAATATGTAATCATTAATTAATATATTCAAACAAGTAATTTAAAGAAGTACCTTTAATATGTAATTATAGTAAAACTTTGTTGTTTGAATTAATTGGCCTACGTAGGAATATTTAAATTCGTGACGAGATAAAAGGCTGAATAATTCTTTGGCCTTGTTAAGGGGTCGACTGGGGCATATTACGAAGTAGTAAACTCCGAGCACATACTAGGGTGTGTTCTTGCAATCATGCGACTGTCACCCCGATGATGGATGACTTGTTCCTAGCGTTCGTTTAGCAGTTGCATGTAAACCTCCGATGGTCGACTAACCAAGGAACCAATCCCAAAGTATACTCTAGTAAAGTTACAAGAAATCGTTCACTTTAGAAACTAATTAATTGAATCAATAGAGTACGTTTAACGATTTCTTATATAAAAAATAAACCGACCAAAAAATAAAATAAAAAAAACGACACCTCCGCTAGTTTGTTTACCGTCCCCGGGTGGAAGTCGCGTTTAACTTAATTAAATTGAAATTGACGTCATTAATTAACTCGTCCCTGTCGACAACTTTTCACTTTTGCCTTCACGAATTGATTACACTTTTTACACGGTTTTGTTGCCTTAGATATAAGATTGATTTTGGATATATTTATGCTCACAATTCATTATTTTCATTTTACATTACAAAAATCGGAAAACAAGAAACAAAATAACTGATATTTTATAATGTCAAAAAATTAGGATACATATGTTATATTTCCATAGAACACCTTTTATGAGCTTTTCTTTTATAATTTTTCAGGGGACAATCTCTTTTTAAAGACCAGCAGTAATCTGCCATCATGTGACAATCCCATCGACCCTGATACCTTTCCTCCATCACTTTTAGATCCTGGTGGAGCTGCTCTCCTTGTTCCTCACTATAATTTCCTAAATTATCCGGAAATTTATCCAGATAGTGTAATTTGATACTCATATTTGCTCCTAGAGTTTGAAAGTTTGTCAGCTTGTGAAACTTTTCCAAGCTTTACTTTCCAGAACAGTTATAACTTTAATAAAATCTGTGTCTTTCACTAATTCCTGAATATAGGCAACGCCGATCAAGTTAACGAGTTTTTCCTCGATGGCATTCAATCAATCTAATATCTTCCCTGGTGTCATCGAATCACTGTCCTTTTCTCTCGCTTCGGAAGAGGAAATATTGGATATTCTTTGTAACATTAAGACAACTACAGTTGGAGTTGACGGTATTAGTGTTAAAATGTTGAATATGTGTTGTCCAACAATTATACCGTATATATGTCATATTGTGAACTATTGCCTTGAATTGTCTGTGTTTCCTGACCTTTGGAAGATTGCTCAAGTCACGCCAATTCCAAAAACATCCAGCCCTCGGGAACTTAAAGATCTCCTCCCCATAAGTATTTTGCCTATATTGTCCAAGATTCTGGAAAAAGTGGTTGCTACTAGACTTACCCAGCATCTAAATAAATTTAATATTTTACCAGTCCGTCAGTCTGGTTTTCGTTCAAGACACAGTTGTATGACAGCCCTTCTCGATGTCACGGATGATATTTTCCATGCAATTGACCAAAAAAGCGCCACGATCCTGATTCTCTTGGACTTCTCTAAGGCCTTTGATACCATTCACCACCCCACTCTCTTAGCAATACTCCACCATATTGGCCTTTCGGAGGGTGCCATAAAGTTTTTTAATAGTTACCTCCTGAATCGGTCACAAACTGTTAAGCTTCATGGAAAGGAATCTTCAGCAGCAGTGGTGTCCTCAGGCGTGCCGCAGGGTTCAATTCTTGGCCCTCTGCTCTATCTAATTTATACGGCTGCTTTACCAAAAGTACTAGACGTCTAAATCAGCAGTTATGGTATTTGGGAGTGGTGGTGTGGTGAACAGGGTCAAGGGGTCTCTGAGTGTCGGAGTGGGTGGTGTTAAATTGAATTTTACGGACGAGTGCTGTAATTTGGGTATACGTCTTGATACCGCACTCCGATTCCGTGGACATGTTTCTTCACTAATTCGTAGAGCCTACGTGACGCTTAAATTATTGTACAGTAACAGGAGCTTACTTAACCAACGTTTGAAAATCCAATTATGTGAAGCTCTTGATCTGTCCATATTCAATTACGGAGATGCTTTATATCATCCATGCTTAGACTCTGTAACCAAAGTGCGTATCCAAAGAGTGCAGAACTCATGTCTGAGGTTTATATATGGTATTAAAAGACGGGAAAACATATCACACACTCTGAATTGGGCAAATTGGTTGAATATGACGCGTCGTAGAATCCTTCACAGTGCTTGCCTCTTTCACAGAATTATTATGTATAAATGTCCACCATATTTAGCCGATAGAATCAGGTATCGCAGTGACGTGCACAATATTAATATACGACATCGGCACATGTTATGCATACCACGCCATGAACCTCAAATCTTTAAAAGATCTTACTCTTATAATGTAACTACTATTATGAATAGCCTTCCTGATTCCGTCAAGCAGCTGAGTGAGCGAAGTTTCAAGTCATATTATAAAAAAATTCTTTTGATTGAGCAGAACAGCATTTAAATTTAAATTTTAAATTTAAGTTCTTATTAAGAGGTAATATTCACTTTTTACATTTCTGAATTGTATGACCTAACAGGGCAGGGGGAGATTGTTCGCGGCAGCTTGTTCAACCTTTTCTTCATTTTGCTATGTTTTTGTTCTTTAATTTTGTTGTATTTTTTTTTATTATTCCTTATTATTGTTATCTTTCAT